TACATATTAGGTGAAGAGAAATGGGTGTCCTTTACTGATTTTTTAAGATTAGGAAATAAAAAAACGTCAGAAGAAGCCAAATCAGGACTGTAAGATGGATGCCTTATGATTTCCCTTTGAAACTCTTGCAAAATTGCCTTTGTTTAATGAAAGGAGTAAGCAGGAGCATTGTCATGGTGCAGAACTCCCTGGTGAAGGTGTTCTAGGAGTTTTTCTGCTACAGCTTTGACTTTCTCAAAACACTCTGAGAGTACGCAGACCTTGTCTTTTGGCCCTCTAGAAAGTCCACAAGCAAAATGCCTTGAGCATCCCAAGAAACTGTTACCTTGACCTGTGCTCTTAACTGGTCCACTTTTGCTTTGACTGGACCACTTTGCATAGATGCAAAAATCTTCGAGAAAATCTTAACAAACTGTATTCAACAGCACATTAGAGGATCATACATTATGAACAAGTGGTATTTATCCTTTGGATGCAAAGACGCTTCACATACAAAAATCAGTTAATTTATGGCATGGCCTTATATAAAGAAAACCCTAAAGACCATTTTTAAAACTGTCAGTTAAGTCGCAGCATACAAAATCAGCATTAAAAAGCAATTGTGTTTCTATGCACTAACAATAAACTACCTGAAAAGAAAATTAGGAAGATAATCTTCCTAATACAACGGCACCAAAAATAATAAAATACTTAGTTAAACTTACCCAAGAAAGTGAAGCACTTGTGCGCTGAAAACTATAAAACATCCATCAAAAAGGTACAAACAAATGAAAAGACATCCATGTTGCATAGATTGGAAGACTTAGAGTTTCCATACTATCCAAAGTGATTTACAGATTTAATGCAATCTCTATCAAAATCCCACTGGCATTTATACAGATATAGAGAAAACCATTCTAAAACTCATATGAAACTACAAAGGACCCTGCATCACCAAATAATCCTGAGAAAAAAACCAACAAAGCAGTAGGCATTACACGTTTCCTGCCCGCTCTGATTTTCCACCAATCCACGTCTGTCTTTGTACCAGTATCATCCTGGTTCGTTGTTGTTGTTTGGTGGGGTTTGCTGTTTTGCTTTTGTTGTTGCTGCTGTTGTTTTAGGCAGGGCGCCGTGGCTCACACCTGTAATCCCAGCACTTTGGGATGCTGATGGGGACAGACTGCATGAGCCCAGGAGTTTGAGACCAGCCTGGGTAACATGGTGAAACCCCATCTCTACCAAAACTAAAGAAAATTAGCCAGGCCTGGTGGCCCGCACCTGTAGTCTCAGCTATTCAGGAGGCTGAGGTGGGAGGATCTCTTGAGTCCAGGAAATGGAGGTTGCAGTGAGCGGAGATCACACAGCTGCATTCCAGGTTGGGCGACACACAGCAAACATAGGGGAAAAGCTTCAGAACATTGGTCTTGCCAATTATTTCATGGATAAGACTCTAAAAGCACGGGCAAAAATAGATGAACTGGACCATTCCAAGTGAAGGAGCCTCCATACAGTGAAGGAAACAATCGAGCAGAAAGGCATCCTATAGAATGGGAGTAGGTATTTGCAAAACGTTTACCTGTTAAGGAGTTAATTTCCACAATACAGAAGGAACTGCTACAACTGCTTCAAGCAAAACAAAGAGACCTCTAACCATCTGATTTCAGAAGAGCTAACAGACAGTTCTCCAAAGAAGACATGAAAATGAGCAACCATGTTCAATGTTACTAGTTATCGGCGAGATGTCCCATCGCACCCGTTAGGATAGCTATTGTCAAAAACAAGCAGACAAAAACAAAAGCAAAAGGCAACAACGTGGAACATGGGAACCCTTGTTCCTACACTGTAGGTGGGAATGCTAAATGATACAGTCGCCCTAGAAAACAGTAAGGTGCTTCCTCCAAAACATTTAAAATGTAACGACCTTAAGATAATGCAAACTATTTATCCAAAATAACTGAAATAAGAATCTAAAAGACACAGACCACTCCTGTATTCATTGCAACCAATGAATCCACAACTGTCAAGATGTGGAGGCTGGGTGTGTGGTGGTGCACACCTGTGGTGGCTGAGGAGGGTGGATGTCTTCAGGCCAGGAGTTTGAGACCAGCCTGGCCAACGTGACGAAACCCCATCTCTACTAAAAATATAAAAACTAGCCAGGCACTCTAGCCTGGGCGACAGAGCAAGATTCTGTCTAAAAAAAAAAGTGAAAACAGGGCTAGCCCAGTGGCTCACACCTATAATCCCAGCATTTCAAAGGCTGAGGCGGGAGGTCAGGAGTTTGAGGAAGAAGAGAAAGAAAAAATTTTAAGTTTCAGTTATTCGATATGGGTTTTATTAGACATTTTGCTAGGAAGAGTAAAGGTCAATTTTTCTTTTGATTTAAAAAATGTATTTTACTGTCATAAGAACACTTGACATAAGATTTATGTTCTTAACAAATATGAATGCATAATATACAATTGTCCCTTGCTTTGCAGGGAAGATTTGATTCCAGGGCCTCAGGCAGATGCCCAAATCTCCCATAGTCAAGTCCCGCAGCTGCCCCTCTGAAACCCGCCCTACTAGAAAAGTCAGCTCTGTTTTGTGTACGTTTCACATCTTGCCATACTGCATTTTTGATCTGAGAGTTTGGTGGAAAAAAATCCACGTATAAGTGGACCAAAGCAGTTGAAACCTGTGTTGTTCAACTGTGGTATCGTTAACTATAGGACAGCGTTGTACAGAGATTTCTAGAATGTGCTCATCATGTATGATATGGTTGGGCTGTGTTCCTGCCAAATCTCACCTTGAATTGTAATAATCCCCACATGTCAAGGGTGGGGCCAGGTGGAGATAATGAATCACGGGGGTGATTCCCCCATACTGTTCTTGTGGTAGTAAGTCTTAACACGGTCTGACAGTTTTATAAATGAGAGTTCCTCTGCACACCCCCTCTTGCCTGATGCCACATAAGACATGCCTTTGCTTCTCCTTTGCCTTCTGCCATGATTGTGAGGCCTCCCCAGACGTGTGGAAGTGTGAGTCCATGAAACCTCTTTCCTGCATAAATTACCCAGTCTCAGGTATGTCTTTATTATCAGTGTGAGAACAGACTAACACCATGTGTAACTGCAACCTTGTTGATAAGCAGCTTCTGGTTCTCCTTCTCCCTAGCCTCTGAAAACCACCATTCTCTCTGATTCTGAGTTTGATCATTTGATATATCTCAAGTGGAATTAAGTACTTAACAAATTACTTAAATTTGTTAATTTGACAAATTAAGTTAATAAAGGTTAATCTAACATAGAATTAATTTATCATTTTGTTGGCTTATTTCACATCACTTGCTATCCTCAAGGTTCATTTTCTATTATTATTATTATTATTATTATTATTAAATAGAGCCGGGGTTTCACCTTGTTGGCCAGGATGGTCTTGATCTCCTGACTTCGTGATTCGCCCACCTCAGCCTCCCAAAGTTCTGGGATTATGGGCGTGAACCACTGCGCCTGGCCTTCTATTATTATTATTAATTTTTTTAGACAGAGTTTCACTCTTGTTGCCAAGGCTGGAGTGCAATGGCAATGGCTCAATCTCAGCTCACTGCAACCTCTGCCTCCCTGGTTCAAGGGATTGTCCTGCCTCAGCCTCCCAAGTAGCTGGGACTACAGATGTACACCACCACAACTGGTTAATTTTGTAGTTTTAGTAGAAATGGGGTTTTACCATGTTGACTAGGGTGGTCTCGAACTCCTGACCTCAGGTGATCTGCCTGCCTCAGCCTCCCAAAGTGCTGGGATTACAGGCTTGAGCCACTGCACCCAGTCAAAGTTCATTTTTTTTTTTTTTTAATCCACTCATCTGATAGTGGACATTCAGGTTGTTTCACACCTTTTTTCAATTTTTATTTTTGTAGAAACAGGATCTCGCTATGTTACCCAGGGTGGGCACTTGGTCCACTTATACTTGGATTTTTTTCAAGCAGACTCTCAGATCAAAAATGCAGTATGGCAAGAGGTGAAATCTATACAAAGGGAGAGCTGACTTTCCATGTAGGCAGGGTGGGTTTCAGAGGGGCAGCCGCAGACTATGTGGGAATTTTGGTATATGCCTGAGGCCCTGGATTCAATCTCCCTCACAAAGCAAGGGACAACTGTATATCATACATTTAAATTTGTTAAGAACATACATCTCATGTCAAGTGCTCTTACTACAATCAAATACATTGTTTAAATCAAAAGAAAAATTGATCTTTACTCTTCCTAGCAAAATGTGTAATAAAACCCGTATCGAATAACTAAAACTTAGAATCTTTTCTTTCTCTCAACCCTCAGTCCTGATAAATCCTGCCGCAGTCCCAGCAGGTCTAGGGCCCCACAAACCTGGCACACACCGGCACCACTGCAACTCCAGGAAAAGCTGAGCTCTCTCTGCCAGCTCCTGACGGTCCTGAATTTCTGAACTCCACCAGACTTGGCCTGAATCTACAGAACTGTGTGACTGCCCATTTAACACACTGAAGAGCAAGCTTCCCGTAAGCACTGAACACCTGTGGCAACTGCTGGGTGCCCAACCTGGGAGACCTTATGTCTGGAGTGACGGATCCCACTCTGCTACCCCACCCAACATCCCAGACAGATGCAGGCTGGCGCTGACACAGAGCAGAAACGCCTGCAGCAGAAGAGACGTAGATCAAGCCCAGTTATGAGCTAAGTCTCTGGAGGTTTTTTAGCAGATGGAGCTTGGAGGGATGGAGGGAACTGGAAAAGAAGGAGGGATCAGCCGAATCCTAACTGAGAAAGGTGGCCATGTTCTCCAGGCGCTGCCTTAGGCTACTAACCTGGGTCACACAAGCATAGAAACTGAAGTTAGTTAGGGCCCCACAGCGATCCTTTGCTTGGGTCAGCGTTGGCTCCCTCAGCTGGGGTGGAATTCAATGAAACAAGTTACCCAAACTGAAATAGAGACGGGAGTGGGAAGAATCTGGGAGGTATGTCCGCCCGGTTTCAGACCAATGGACCTAAGAAGGTGAAGTGGTGCTCGCTTCGGCAGCACATGTACTAAAACTGGAACGATGCAGAGATTAGCATGGCCCCTGCGTAAGGATGACGCACAAATTCGAGAAGCGTTCCATATAAAAATAACTATTTTTTAATAAAATAAAAAAGGTGACGTGAACATGAGAACCACTACTCCTAGAGAAACCACTATAACAACCATTGTCATGTGTGAGGCGCTTTTCCCCTTTCCATATACATTCCCTGTGTCAAAACCGAAAATACCAAAACTCTGGACTCAACATCCAGAAAGTCTTTCCCCAGGGACACAGATTCTCACAAACGCCAGGCCAGAAAACCTTGGGCAGAACCGCAGAAATTTGATTTCAACTTCAAAACTGCTCTATAAGGCCAGGCGCGGTGGCTCAAGCCTGTAATCCCAGCACTTTGGGAGGCCGAGGCGGGTGGATCACGAGGTCAAGAGATCGAGACCATCCTGGTCAACATGGTGAAACCCCGTCTCTACTAAAAATACAAAAAAATTAGCTGGGCATGGCGGTGCACGTGCCTGTAATCCCAGCTACTCAGGAGGCTGAGGCAGGAGAATTGCCTGAGCCCAGGAGGCTGGAGGTTGCGGTGAGCCGAGATCGCGCCATTGCACTCCAGCCTGGGTAACAAGAGCGAAACTCCGTCTCAAAACAAACAAACAAACAAACAAACAAAAAACTGCTCTATAATCCCATGACTGTTTCTCTGTCCTTTCAATCCACACAGACAGTCACTTCTTGATGACAGAGAATGACGTTACAACCCAGTTTTCCAAAGAAGGTGCCCTGGAGACCTCCAGCACTTTTCTGCAGAGAAATGCCCACAGGGAGAGACTGGAGTGAGATGGGGCCTGTGCCTGGTTATCTACCAGGCCAGGAAGAGGGCAGGGGACGGTGCTACACAACTGTCTTCCAAGAGGTCGCATTAGGACCCCTTGACTCAGCTTCTTCAGATTCTTACACATTCCCTGCCATTCCCATTCAGCGGTCCTCTCACCCCGTCTGCTTTGTGTGTATCACTATGATTTTAACCTCGGTATTGTGCTTTTTGTTTGTTTGTTTTGGTTTTGATCTTTTTGTTTGTTTGTTTGTTAGATTTTACTTCACTTTGAAAAATCTACCTGTCTTGGTACAGATGCAGCTGCTCCATTAGTTGTGATCGCCGCACAGCGTGAAGTTTACACCCACCTATGGTGATGACAGACATGCAGATTACGTCAACTCTATTACCGCATATCACTACAATGATCAGTCTCATTTAATCCACCAGGATGATAAGCTGAAACGTCACTAGGAGACATTCCTAGAAGTGAGATTGCTGGGTACTAGACAAAAAGCTATTCAGAAATTAAAACTCGCTTAATGCCTGTACAGCAAAACCTAAGATCTACATTTTTAAGGATAAAATCCTACCTTTAGTTCATGTAGAAATTCATACATATAATATTTTTGTCATGACAAATCAAAACAAAGGCTATCTAACTCACGTTGGTCTGAGGAAACCTCCCAGGGGAAGAAGATCCTTGAGGTATATCTAAGATTTGAGTAAACGTGTGGCGAAGAAGAAGGGAAGGTATTTTGAGCGGAGAACATTTAATTTTAACAAGTTATTTACTGTTCATTAACATTTCTTTTACTTTAATGATCTAGGAAATTTTTCTGCAATGTGATAATATTTTGTGGGGCTATTTTCTTCAGAGTTTCAAAGTAAAGTAGAAAACTTTGTTTTATAGAATCTTATGGCAGATTATGCTGCATGTGGGGGAGATCAGTGAATTTCCCAGTAATTCTGTCCCCAGAAAACCCCCAGAACCCTAACTGTGCCTGTCCTGCCAATTGACACTCTTAGCTTGTCTTTCTTCCTGGCATTAGAACAGTTTCAAGTCTCCATTGTTTTGTGTGAAGCTGGTTTCCGTCTCTGCTGAGGCAGAAGTATACTTTTTGTCTTGGCCTACAACCTCATCTGGGTCATTCCAAGATGAGAGGTTTGTGTTTGTATACCATGATCTTTCAAGAATGCTTGATGGGTAGAATACCTTTTATTCTTTTGTTTGTTTGTTTGTTTGTTTTGAGATGGAGATTCCCTCTTGTTGCCCAGGCTGGAGTTTATTGGTGTGGTCTCAGCTCACTGCAACCTCCACCTTCTGGGTTCAAGCTATTCTCCTGCCTCAGCCTCCCCCTCCCAAATAGCTCAGATTATAGGTGCCTGCCACCATGCCCGGCTAATTTTTGTATTTTTAGTGACAGCAGGATTTCACCATGTTGGCCAGGATGGTCTCGAACTCCTGACTTCGGGTGATCCACCTGCCTTGGCCTCCCAAAGTGCTGGGATTACAGGCGTAAGCCATCTCACCCAGCTAATTTTTATTCTTCTATAGTCTTCACGGATTGCCTGATTTTGCTTCATGGTTGTAACAGATAATCTAATATTGTGCAAGTGTGATATTGAATGTGGCCAGGGTCCTGTATCATTGTGCTCACCACCAAGAAATAAATCATTCTCAGCCACCTGCAGAAACAATTTGACAGAATCTGTCAACATTTCAAATACATATCTCTCATGTCCCTTGATGTGCATTTCACAAGTGTACAAAGGCTGCTTGCAGGCATAGCAGTTATGTTCAAATTCTTCACTTCACATTATTTGTAATAGAAAGACTAAGAAAAAGCTATCTATCCTAAGTATATAATCAGTTAAGTAAATCATGGCATATATGCAAAATCAAACGATCTTTATTTATTTATTTAGAAGTGGCACAATCTCAGCTCACAGCAACCTCTGCCTCCCCGGTTGAAGCGATTCTCCTGCCTCAGCCTCAGCGATTCTCCCAGCCTGTAGCTGGGACTACAGGCGCCCACCACTACACCTAATTTTTTTGTTGTTTTTCTGAGACCGTGTCTTGCTCTGTCGCTTAGGATGGAGTGCAGTGGCACAACCTCAGCTCACTGCGACCTCGCTGCAACCTCTGCTTCCCAGGTTAAAGCAATTCTCTTGCCTTAGCCTCCTGAGTAGCTAGGATTACAGGTATGCGCCACCATGCCCAGCTAATTTTTTTGTGTTTTTAGTAAAGATGGGTTTTCACCATGTTGGTCAGGCTGGTCTCAAACTCCTGACCTCAAATGATCTGCCAGCCTCAGCTTCTCAAAGTGCTGGGATTACAGGCATGAGCCACTGGGCCTGTACCTCCTTATCCCCTTGTGAGTATACATACTGGGCCAGGATGGAAGAGAATATGTCTTTGTATTATATTGTATTTGCACTTTTAAAAATCTATGGAAAGATAGCAGGAAATTCTTGACAATGGTTGCCTGTTTAAAATGCTAGGAACTGTACTTTGACATGATAGCATGTAAGAAAAATAAATAAAATTAAAGAGCAGCCAGGCACGGTGGCTGATGCCTGTAATCCCAGCAGTTTGGGAGGCTGAGGTGGGTGGATCACGAGGTCAGGAGGTCGACACTATCCTGGCTAACACAGTGAAACCCCATGTCTACTAAAAGTACAAAAAATTGGCCAGTCATGGTGGCGCATGCCTGCAATCCCAGCTACTTAGGAGGCTAAGGCAGGAGAATTGCTTGAACCAGGGAGGCAGAGGTTGGAGTGGGCCAAGATTGCACCACTGTACTCTAACCTGTCTATACACTCCAGAATAGAAGGACCTATGTCTGTACACTTCAGAATAGAAAGAGCTATGTCTACACAATCCAGAATACAAGGAGCTATGTCTGTACATTCCAGAATAGAAAGAGCTATGTCTATACACTCCAAAATAGAAGGACCTATGTCTGTACACTCCAGAATAGAAGGAGCTATGTCCATACCATCCAGAATAGAAGGAGCTATGTCTGTACACTCCAGAATAGAAGGAGTTATGTCTATACAATCCAGAATAGAAGGAGCAATGTCTATACAATCCAGCCTCAGGGATACGGCAGGCAACGGCTCGTGCCTGCAATCCCAGCACTTGGGTTGATTGAGGCAGAAGGATCGTTTGAACCCAGGGGTTGGAAGTCAGCCTTGTCAACATTGCAAGACCACATCTCTACAAAAAAATTTTTTTAAATTAACCAGCCTTTGGTGGCTTAGGCTGAGGCTAGAGTGTCACTTGAGTCCAGAAGTTCGAGTGAGCTGATTAGGCCACTGCCCTCCAGCCTGGACGACAAAGCCAGACCCTGCCCTCGTGGGGGTGGGGGTGGGGGGGGTGAGTCACAATAGTAGTTCCCGCTGCGTCGTGATTGGAAAGGAACTTTGAGTGCTGCTGAGCCGCATGCCGGTAGGCCGGGCTTATTCAGTTTGCGGACAACTGCAAACTGTGGGGAAGCTGCGGACTAACAGGAACTCTGATTCATTCCTGGTGGAATCACAGATGGCACAGCTATTTTAGAAGACAGTTTGGTGGTTTCTTGTAAAAGTTAACATATTCTTCTCACACAATCCAGTTGTACTCATTGATATTCACCCAAAAGAGTTGAAAAGTGATGTCCACATGAAAATCTGTATACAGATGTTTATGGCACCGTTATTCACAATTGCCAAAATTTTGAAGCAAGCAAATTATTATTTAATAAGTGAATGGATTAACTGTGATATATGTAGACAATGGAATACTACTCAGCATTGAAAAGAAATGAGATATCAACTCATCAAAAAGACTTGGAGGAAACTTAAATGCACATTACTAGAAGCCAATCTGAAAAAAGCTACATACTGCATGATTGTAATTATATGACATTGTGGAAAGGCAAAACTATGGACACAGTAAAAAGATCAGTCGTTGCCAGGGTTTGTGAGGATGGAGGGATGAACAGACCAAGCACAGAGAATGTTTAAGGCAGTGAAACTACTCTGCATGATACTATAATGATGGATACATATCATACTTTTGTGCAAATGGATATAACACCAGGAGTGAAGCCTAATGTAAACTTTGACCTCTGGGTGATGATGATATCAAGATAGGACATCCGTTGCAATGAGCCCACCACGCCAGTGGGGCATGTTGACGGTGAGGGAGTTATGCCTGTGCGGGAGCAAGGGGTATGTGAGAAATTTCTGTACTTTCTGCTCAAAGTTTTGCTGTGGATCTAAAAACCTC